CGACGGGAACTCGAAGGAGTCTTATGGGCACTCCAAACTTTCGCCGCCCGCCTACCCAAGCGCCACGTGCTCGTTCGGGTGGACAATCAAGGAGTGGTATTAATCCTACACAAAGGCGGATCACGCCACCCTACGCTCACACTACTATGTCAAGCAATCATTCGTCTTTGCATGGAACATCAGACAAGGCTAGCTGTCGAATGGATCACGCAAGGGCTGAATGCCCATGCCGACGAAATGAAACACACTAACAAATGAAATGAAGCACGCTGCCTTTACAAGAGGACCTAAGCGAGCTTTCACAATACCGAGTATAGCGAGATTTGTGTCCCTCCATGATTACCGCATCCAGTCACACACACCCCTAGGAAACTTTTCTCGAAGTCCTCGACCAGTCACACTTCTCTCATACCCTCGGCAACCCAAAAGATTCTATCTCCTTGGAAACCAGTCACACCTCCCTCATACCCTCGGCAACCCCTATGAAAGTCCTCGAAAACCAGTCACACCCCTCTCGTAACTCCCGCAATCTTGTATAATTTGTGTAAGTCCTCGGCAACCAGTATCACCCCTCATACCTCCCCCCTCCCAGAGAGTGTCAGAGTCTCGACTCTTGACTCTCTAACTGTAGCCCCTACGCTAGTCCCCTGTCCTGGGGTGGGTTGGCACCACACTGGCGCGCAAGCAACTTGCCACGTCGAAATTCTATATCACGCCACATCACTAACAATTAAAGTGCTTCAGGGCCAGGGCTTCAGAAGTCATGACGAAATGCCCTGAAATGATGTATAGCAGGGGGTTTTCTTTTTGGGTTGTCCTGATTTTCCAGCTTTTGATTTTCCCTATGCCTGATTTTAAGGGGTTCTCATTTGAGCAGGCCTTAAATAATGTATATTTTTGTTTTGGTCACCCTGAATTATCTGCCTTAATGGATTTCCAGCCTGAAACAGAGTCCTCTCGATACCACCCCCCCTCCCTCCCCCCGACAATCATGGCTGGAATGGGGTGTGTTATGGAGCACGTGTGAGGGGCGTCATTGGTCCTTTACCAAAATCACACCCTTCGTCACAGAGCACGTGAGAGGAGGCTGGTCCTTAGTCACAATTACACCCAGCTTTGTGAAACTATAGGTGTGCTGGAACAGTTGTTAGGAGTGTGTTTATTTCTTGACGAAGTCAAGAGCCAACCAATCGGGGTCGAGTTACTGTCGAGCACCCGCTACCGGCTAGGCCGACGACGCACCTGTCTTTCGATCGCGTTGGCGTGCATGCTGCCACATCGTGTCGCGTGGTTTGAGGAGAAAATTGAAAGAAACAAGGGTCTATCTAACCTCTAAAAAATCGCCCAATATTCAACCCTTCAATCTCAGCCCTGAATTTTTTTTGTCCTGATCATTCAACCTTCGGAGAATTTTACCCTGACAAACTATGCTACTTTCAGAAACGGACCCTGGAAAACGGGGTCTCCTGCTGGGGCCACCCTGAGCCATCGGCCCTTCAAAATCCAATGTGAAGCCATGTTCAGGGCATGTTCCTACCTTGGGGAAACTTCAGGGCAGCACTTGAGGGTATCCTATATCAACTTATACATATATCGTATATGTAGCAGTTATAGGCTAAAAGGGGTTCATGGTCTTAGAGATTATAACACCCAACTTGCTAGTTCCCTTGTATCCTTTGTTTCCATTCAATGCATTTTTCTGAGATGGTATCAGATCGCCTGGTTCACCCTCAGGGGCTAGCAGCATGGAGCAGAGATGAGGAGCGGCCACAGACAGGAAAGCTAGCTCGTACCGCCTGTCCTTTAGGACGTCTCTGCCAAGGGCAGATGCACCCCCGGCGGACTGAGGACGGGCAAGGTCAGAGACCAGAATAGTGGCGTAGTAAAGGCGGCGGATAGAGGCAAAGTCAGCGATGGCAGCGACAAGAGCGTCGAGACTTGAGACAAGAACGGATGGGTGGATAGCAAGAAAGGCGAGGACCTGGGGAACAAGGGGGCGAGCAACATGGAGGAAGTCAGGGAAAGGAGGCGAGGAGACAGCTAGGGATGACTGAGGAGGCGACGGGAGAAGAGGAGTAGGAGGAGCACAAGATGCGTGAGAACGGAGCAACATACGGTGAGAACGCTGAACAGGAGAGACAGGGCAAGCACGAGAGGGACGGCAATACCAAAAGTGGAAATGAGGCCTTGGATCAGGAGATACATGAGGAGACACAAGGGGAGAACGAGGGGGGAAACAAGCTGGGGACGAGTTCGACGGAGGAAACCCAGGACCGTAGACAGGAGGAGGAGAAGGCGGCGCCGCAGGAGGCGCGGGCGGTCGGTCGAGGGAGGGAAGATCGAGAAGGCGAAGGGCAGACACCAGCGGCAACTGCGGCTGTGGCGGCTGCTCTGCGCCCACGCCAGGACCTCCAACATCACCATCGCTACCCCCAGTACTCGCCTCGACGGCACCCCGAGTACTCGCCTGAGGGTGACCCCGACGCTCTTGACATCCCGACCCCTCGCACCTACTTTGAGGAGACTTCGGCACCCTGTGTCTCTCAGTGGATAGTTGTGATGGATGCAGAGATGGCATCCTGGAGATCCACCGGCACCTACGTCGACGCAGTTCCCCCACCTGGTGCGAACCTAATCGATGACCGGTGGCTCTTCAAGGTGAAGCGCCCTCGTGGAGAGCCGCTGGTGTTCAAGGCGCGCTACGTTGCTAGAGGTTTTAGTCGGCGCGAGGGTGTTGACTTCTTTCAGACCTTCGCCCCAACCCAAAAGATGACGTAGCAGCACAGCGCGACTACGAATTGCACTCCCTTGACTTCTCCACAGCATTTCTCCAGGGCAGTCTGCACGAGCAGATCTACTAGCGCCACCAGCCAGGCTTCTTTGGCACTTTCCCTCCTATGACCGAGTGGTTCCTCCGGCGCCCGGTTTACGGCCTACGGCAGGCGCCCCAGGAGTGGCACGACACGCTGCAGTTCTTTCTGTCCTCTGCTGACCCTTTGCTCTTCGTTCGCTCGAGCTAGACTCTGTTCTACATCCTAGTCTGCGTAGATGACCTGGTTTTCGCTACTGCAGGCAAAGATGCAGTGGCCTCGGTGAAGGCTAAGTAACTAAGGAGACACACATGCAGAGACCTAAGACTGGCCTGCAGAGACCTAGGACTGACCTGTAGAGACGTACTAGCCTCTGCACTGCACGGTCTTGTACGCTGACAACAGGGCCGTGATCCTCTTGTGTCAAGAGCCTCGACTAGAGGTCAGAGCGAAGCACATCCAGCTGCGGTACTTCCTCCTGCACAAGCTGTAGCAGTGCCGCCTGGCCCGTGTAGTCCATTTGGCCTCCGGTGCCAACACAGCTAATATCTTTACTCAGGCGCTTGCGCCTAAAGATCATCAGCGGCACTGTGTACAACTTGGTCTAGTTCCAGTAGCTCCTCACTTGCTAGGACCCTGATTTATTACTTCTCCTTATATTATCTTGACTGGCATTGTGGCTCTTGTTCCAGAGGCTGGACTAGTATTGCCGCCCTGGGTTACTCTTGTTTAGCTGGTCGTCAGACCCTTGCCTAAGAGGTTGGACTAGTAATGCCGCCCTGAGATGCGTGTCTCTCGCTAGGCAGTGCCCCTTGTCTAGCCTAGGGGGTGTGTTATACATGTATCCCTTCTTGTCCCAGTAGTTAAGACTGGTGACTTTATGACAAGAGGAACTAGCATTGTAGTGGTTGAACTTATGTGTACACATGAGGAGGTAGTGGAAAGTAGGTAGTAGTGAACGCCTGCATTGAATAGTTGCTCTCAAGAAGCTACGTGAAGGGGTGGCGTAGGACATGTATAGCGGAAGCCCTTAGCCAAGAGGGATCTAGAGCACACGTTTTCGGCAGGACTACACTGCTGGATGGTCTGAACTGAGCTCTGGCCGCTTGTGAAGTAATTGGTGTCGTTTTAGGCTAGAGTACTAAAAGAGAAAGCTGTGGGTTTGGTGTGGGCAACTTGGGCATATGGGATGGCGGTTTAATTTGGTACCCCCTTGGTGTATAAGCTTCGAGAGTCTCCATAGGGAAAGGGGGAGTGAATAATATATAAGATGGATTGTTCAGCATAGCATAGTGAAAACGATGAAAACAGCTCTTTAAAAAAATGTACGACACAACATTCTTTGATGGATGCAGCAATTTTCGTAGTACTATTTTTAATTCATATAAGTTCGGATACGATACATGCATCACTTCGTGTACGAGTTCTCATATTCCCCCTTTGCGGTCTCGCTTCGTGTCAACCATCCCAAGTCGCAGCTAGTTTTCCAGCAGACTCCACAGGTTGTGGCGTGATGTATGTCAGGTGCTCGCCACAGGATGGTTTGCCAACAGACCGAAAGCCAAGGTCCTGCTGCGCATGGATCTTGTCAAAACTTGTGGCCAAGGGGAAGGGCGTGGGGCGATGCTGGGTGTCGGTACACATGACGTCCAGTGAAACGTCCATTCGTCAGAGGCTCTCATGTACTCGTCAGTCCGAATGGCACGGAGTTACAGGCAACGGCCCGTCCTGGACTGGCCCAATTTTGGGCGGCTCAACCACTTGCGACACTGCTGGGAACGAAAATGCAGAAGGAACAATTGTAGGAAGACTCGGACATTTTCGCCCAAATCACTTTCGTCAGCGTCGCGTACAAGCTCGGCGAATTTTCGGCAGTGATTTCGCCCCCATTGCTGGCGCAGTACGGAACAAATGGATTCGGGGCGCGGGGGGTGTTCTCGAAACCAGGGTACGATTGTGCGACAGTTACCTGGTTACACGAGAGAAACAACAAATGTCTTCCATGTTCCAAGGGTCCTTCCAAACGAGTAACCGTGGTCCTACCTTCAGGCCCAATTTGCCAGCGATTTTAAGACGCCCGTTACTGGAGTAACCAGTTTAAAACAAAAGCTAGTGCTCTTTCAGAAATATAGTGTAATGACAGGCCCCAAGAAAGGGACGGACGGATCTTTTTCAGTGGAGAAGTGCCCTCAGGATTTGTCTGGCCTGGATTGAGGAAGGTTTTTCTCGTGGCCACTTTCAAGTGCCCGGCTTTCCATATGAATGCACACACGTTGGTTTTCTGCCAAAAAAAAATAGGGAAATTATACGCTGGGTAACTCTTACATTTCGTTTCCCCGATGTAGTCACTCTTTTCTCATCCCAGTCAATGTTTTATCGAGTCGAAATCAGCAGCGTCAAATTTTTTGTTCAGTTTGATGCCGCATAGCAAACTCTTTCGACACGTGTCCGAAAATGGCGAAATCCCAGAAAATAAGGAGAATACTTGTAGTGACAAACCAATAGAAACTCTATCTGAAGAAGACATTCGATTTCACTCACATTCAAATTTCGCAGTAGATTATATTCGTGAAAATTGACTGAGCCAAGTGTTGTCTTTTTGTGGCTAGAAACAGTGAGCAGACGAAGCGCACACAAATTGGGCAACTGAACGTGTGCGAATTTACTGGCTGTTACTAAAATCCCCGAATGAAAAAACATTATTTTCGTTGCTGAAATCTAACAAGCCATTCTTCAAGGTTTAAACTAGACTTATGTCACTATTTCTGACATTTTGTTTTTCGGGATGCCCTTAAAACTCAAACCCGCAGCAGCCCACATGCGACTCGCGGTGGCATCAATTCTAAACTCGCGGCTTTGTTCGTCTTTAGGGTTGATGCCACCCCAAGTCGAATATCGGGCCGCTGCGGGTTTTATTTTGTTTCAGGCTGCCACGATTCACATGTCCGTATACATAGGGGCTGCTGCGGGTTTTATTTTGTTTCAGGCTGCCCTAATCGACATGTCTGTATCTCAATAACGCGTCGCGGAGCTGTGCGCGAATTTTTACGGGGACAGAAACCTCTACCAGATATGCAGTTTTCTCTTCAAAATTTGGACGTTCAGGATTTATCTCTCGATGTTTTGAGACCATGGCATTTCTGGGACACGTGTCGAAATATTTTGCCATGCGGCATCAAACTGAACAAAACGTTTGACGCTGCTGATTTCGATTCGATAAAACATTTACTGAGGTGAGAAAAGAGTGACTAAATCGGGAAGAGTGAGAGTTACCCAGCGTATAATTTCCCAAAAAAATATTGTACAACACAGTTCAACTTTGGCCAGCCACAGTCCCACCCAATCAAGACACACCCCTAGGCTAAGTGAAGGCTCGGGTAGGGAAGGGGGGAACTGGAAAATTCTCGCGACGCGTGAGAAACGAGACGATTCGCGGCTCGTTCCCCAATTCCATGATGGCTGGCCCATGGTTTCCCAATTCAGCTAGTCCATGGCTGATGTCGCCATAAGGTGAGCCTGCTGCTCTTGCCTTCATCGGCGCTTCACTTACATGCAGCACGCACGAACGGCCTCGTTTAGAAGGTGATTCGAGGTTTTGTTGCACGAGTAACGGGATCAGTGCGCAAAATTGTTCTTGTGGTTAACTGCTCAGCACGATACCTCTCACTCTGTGTGTTAAAGCGCCCTGTTGCGATTCCCTAACTTCCGCTTTTCTCCGGACCAATCGGCATCAGCTCTAAGAGCACCAGCAGGCAGTACAAACAGCCGATAGTCTTTTCAGTACGATAGATAAATTTCTCGCCAGCAGGCCAAGCTCACTCGTACAATTCCCCTCGAGCCGCGTCCCTCACGTGCATTCTCGCCATAATCCCCTGCAACCTCTCAAACCTCACTCGCGTTGAGTATCCACCGACCGGAACGCGCCGTCGAAGCCAGTCATGCAGAGAGTACTTCGCCCCTCGCGCACGCCCGCGCTCCTCACGCTCCTCGCGACCCTTCTTCTATTCCACGCCGCATCCTCGGTACTATCAGCATCCGCTCTCGATCAAGAATCGGCTCCTCTCGCCCCGCCGCGGACGAATCTCTTTAGGCGCTTCCTGCGGAGCTGGCAAGCGGCACATCATTCGCCGGAGGTCGCGGCGGCCGGCTCGGCGAAGCGGCCATCTCTTTGGCTCCAGTACCGGCGTCACCTCAGCGGGAATCCCGCCGACGCGAACGTTGACCTGGCATCGTTCACGCGGTATCACGGGGATGGCGGGCCCTACTCCCTGATTCCCGGGATCGATTCCACCGACCACTCGCTTGATGACGTGGCAACGCCCTTAGGACGGCGTCGGCGACTGCGTAGGTGCCATAATTACCTTCTCTCACCCCCCTTGGCGTCGTTCCCACTGTCAGTGCCTCCGCTTTTCCTATCCAGTATATTCTTCCGCTTTTTTACCATTGAACGACGTTCCTTGATTTTTCGAACATTTTGTTAGAGAAGGTGGGGGCTCTCCCTGGATCTTCCCGCGCTCCCATGCGCTCCCCCACGCTCCCCTGCGCTCCCTCTTTCCCAACTCTCTCTCTTCCGCTCTCACTTCGTCCCGCCTCTCCCTCCCCCCCGCTCCTTCCCTTCCGCTGCCCCTGTTACGATAACAGAGCAAAAGACTCAGAAGGGGCCTTGCACCCCGCTCGCCCAGGCCATAAAGATCCCCGTTTCAAGCCCATCCGACATTGACAAGCGGCTACAGCACCCCAATTCCGCTACCGTAATTCTCGAGGTCACCCGCGACCTCGCCCTTCCCAAGGGACTCGTTTTCTCCGGCGCCTTCCGCTGCACAATTTTCCGGTCAGCCCCGACCGCGAAGAAAAACTTCAAAGTGACTCTAATGGGGGACAAGGAGCCGGTGATTCGCGTGTGGAACACCAGCAATGTGATTATATTGAAGCTGGACTTCTGGATGGGCGTATCTGCACGGTCTGGTGAATGCGAGGTGCTACTAGACACCGATATAGGCAGAGACAACACGTGTCCCACCATCCATATCTGGCGGTCTCATAATATCCAGGTCGCTAAGGGGAACGTTTGGGGCAGGATCGACGTTTTCCGGGCGATGGCTGCACGAATAGACAGTATGAAGGTTACCGGGTTGACGCTTTTCGCTAAGTCGCCGGGGGTTATTCGCGTGGCGTTTTCAGGCTACGGCCCGGCGCTGCTGAAGTCCTGGGTGTCGCTGACTAATAACGAGGTGTACGGTGTAGACCAACCTATTGTGCTTCAAAACGGAGCGGTGGGGGTTGTAGCGCGGAACAACTACATCCACGATTTCCTATTCGCGGGGATTCGATGCGGCGCTGACGTGTACAACCAGGGCGACTGCATGCTGACGACCATCAGCAACAACCTCATCGTCGCGTCGGGGCGAAACATGTCGGGCGACCACGACGCGGCTGGCATCTACTACTGCACGCACTTCTACAACCCTGGTGAGGAAACTGGCATGGCGTGGTGTGTGCTGTGCTGCGTCGCATGGCGTTGCAGAGCTCCCAGCAGCAGCTAGCCCAGCCATGGCTGAACAGGCCACTCTTTCGGTTCCAATGCCGTCTCTATGAGTGAGACCAGAAACCTCTCTCACCTCTCACCCTCCTCCTCTCTCCCTTCGTCCTCTGGCTTCTGTTCACAGGGAACATTGCCGAGTGCAACTACATATTCAACGGCGACCACTGCTACTATCTCGACTATGCCACGTCGGGGGTGATTATCCGCGGCGGCGCGTGCGTCAACACATACGACGGCATGAAAGTCAACAACGGCCACTGGTACGCGGCCATCGATTCGTGATTCAAGTCTTCTAGACTCCCTCCCTCCCTCTTATCATTCCACTTTCGGAAGCAAAGCAGGGCAGTCTCAAGGTGTTCACTTTCAGGTCGTAAGACTTGTCTCCCCAATGGTTATGCTCCCTCTGTTTATGTCTCAGGAATGTGATTGAGGATGTGATTCTAAAGGGGACGGTGGGCATTCCAGGCTGGTGCCAGTGCTACACGCCCACCGTCAACAACTGCGCCAAGAAACCAGGCACCTACTGGGAGGAGATGAGGATAAAATACTACAACTCGCCCATCATCAACCGAGTGAGTACACCGCCCTGGTCTGGTATAGAATTGTGCATCTTTTGCTCTGTGGTTGATGTAACAGCCACTTTCAATTTAACTAATTCCTAATCACTCTCACTCCTCTCTCCCGCCTTCCCCCCCACCTACATTTCGCCTCCCATTAACTCCCGGCCGAGCAGAATTGGCCCTGGTTCAAGCAGATCTGTCAGGCGAAGACCGTCAACGGAATGAAATGCAACACAGATGCGAGAGGCACATTGACTGGTGCTCAAACAGGGCATTGCAGCGGCCTTCCGACCCACAACACCGTCAATCTAATCGCAGTTAACACAACCGACTACGAGATGGGCTACAGATACTGTGAGAGGCTCCCTACAGTGCTGTCTGGGAAGTTCAATGACCACAGCATCATGCGAATCCAACGGCCGAGACGAGCCGCCTTCATAAACTACCGACAGAATGATTTGGGCATTGCCTCAAAGAATTCGGTGATCTACACCAAGTTCCCCAAGTTCAAGAGCTGCCCAAGGTCTGACGTGGGCCCGAAACGCGTTCCTGATGCATTCTACTTCAACTCATACAACCGGCCCATGCCTTGGGGATTCATGGCGGTCATTAGGATGGGAAAGTTGCACATTCACGACCTTCCTGGTTGGCCTTGATGCAAAGTTGGCTTGTACTATATTAAGGCTGATTTCCTCTGACTTGTTGAAGTGCAAGGGATTTGGCAATAGCTGTATTGTAAATTATTGTGTTGTGAGCATGTCTTCTGTCGTATTCGTGTGTATTGTATACAGCTCGATCGTTATAAGTAATGAGATTTCGACCACTCTCTCAGGTTGATGCTCAGATGATGGCAACCTGCGAATCGGCTTTGAAACCAAATCCCCTTCCGACATGACTCAGCGGCATTTCCGCTCACCATTCAAGGCGGAGAAGTAGTTCCAGGTTCACCTGCGCTGCGTGGTTACACACAATAGGCGATGTTTTTCCTTGCTCGCGCCATCGAGCCGCGATAAGTAGGCTTTCTTGGCAGCAGCCTCTCTTATGTCGCCAAACCTGTCGCAGCTCTCGTCCACTCAGTCGCACATCTCGTTCCTCCCCTCGCATTTGTCGCGCTTCCTCTTCCACCGTTCATTCGTCGTCAGCTTTTCTTCTCGTCGCCTGTCCCCTCCCCTCCCCTCCCCTCCCCTCCCCTCCCCTCCCCTTCCCTCCCCATGATTCACCTGCATTCTCCTGCCGGCTGCGGCGCAAGTTCCTTCATGCGCCCTCCCAAAACCTGCACCCCACACTCACAAGCAGCCCTAGAAAGCAGGGGCTACTGGCAGTTCGAGAGCCATCACAGAGCTGCACTGCATCCTGGTGAATTCACCAAGCTGATCCTTGTGACTAGGCTGGTAGCACAGTACCTACTGGTCCCAGCCTCAGCCTTGATTGACCTGACGGACAGAGCAGCAACACATGCCAAAAGCATCGCCCACTCGTTCTATAGCAGCATCATACACATCCGCACACCGACTGCATGCACAGCGGCTCGCACACTTGTAACGAACTGGGGCGGAGGAAGCCAGCTCTCGGACCGCCGAGTCGTTCACCCTCAACGACCGACCAGACGCGCAACACGCGCTGCACAAGTGCCCCCTTCAAACGCTTCCCTGCCTCGTAAACGAGTCCGAGCTCCGTAGTATCCGTTTGTTAAATCCTCACTGTGGCAGCACGTTGTAGCCTCCAGGTATCCCTTCCGTAAAGTCCCGTCGAAGCGTGTTTTTCGCGCCATCCGGAATAAACCGCGGTTCTTTTTCGTAACACGCGGGACCAGGAGCACCTGAACGAGCCTCCTAGCGCGAAGCTTGTTTAACACGGAGATGGCCATGGCGCGGCAGCGCTACCTGCTTCTCACGGCGCTCCTTCTCCTCGTTCTCGCCGCGCTCCCAGCTTCCGATTCCGCCTCAGGTGCTCGCGTGCGCCTCTTCTCCCGGGTCGTCTTTCCCTGCCCCTCTCCACCACTACCCACGCCTCCTCGTCCCTGCGCGTCGCGCCAATAGCACAGCTGATTATGCCACGGCAGGAAACCACCCTCGCCTCCGCCTCCCCTCTACCCGCCGTTCCGAATTCCCCTGCCAGCGGCGGCGCTGCTTCCATTGTGGTCGCCGCACGGGGCGTTCCCTCATGGCCCCTCATGGCCCCTCATGGCCCCTCATGGCCCCTCATGGCCCCTCATGGCCCCTCATGGCCCCTCCACCCTACTCCCTTCACTGCCCTCCCTTCCTCCTCCTCATCTTCCCTCCCCCCCCCCACCTCTCCTTCCTCTTGTCCTTCGGAGTCCACTTATCTCAAATCTTTCCCTTCACCCCCCTTCACCCCCCTTCACCCCCCTTCACCCCCCTTCCCGCCCTTCCCCTCCCCTCGTACCTCCTTTCTGCGCATTCCCCCGCGCGCCCCTCATTTTCATTCTCCGCTAAACTCCCTCAACATGCTGTCGTGCCGCGCACAACCCGACGCGGTCGTGCATCTTAATTGCCTCTCCTTCCCTCTCAGCCGCTCTCCCCGTTTCTGCCTCCGTCTCTCCCTCCGTCTCTCTGCTACCCCCGACCCACCACGCTCCCAGACCTCCCGCACCAGCCGAACCTCCTAAAGCGGTTCGTCACGGCGTGGCGGGAGTGGCACGGCACGTCGGCGTCCCGCTCGTCCACGTCAGCATTGCTTCGGCACCGCCGCTACCTCAGCGCCGACCCGGCAGACGCTGCTGACGTGGCGCGCGTGCTGCGCCGACGTGGCGGGTGGTGGCACGACGCGGACGGTCAGGCGTACGTTTCAACTGCTGGAGATGAAACGGTGAAGGAGGTGGTTGATGACGTGACAGAGGGCTTTGTTGCACGGAGAAGGAGAAAGCGTACGTGCCACTATGCCAGCATTCTTTCACTCTATCCTTCCGCTTCTCTCTTGTTCCGCCCTGTCCTCCCCCCGTTCCTCTCCCCTCCCTCCTCCCTCTCATCTCCCCCTCCCCCACCCCCTTTCCCTCCCACCTTCAAGCTTCGTCTTCCTTTCTGCCTGCCCTCCTTCCTCCCCTCTCCCCCCCCTCCCCTCTCTCCCCCCTCCTCTCTTCCTCCCCCCCTCCTCCTCCCTCCCCTCCCCGCGCAACTCATCGCTTTCTCCCCCCTCCCGCTCCCAACCCCCTTCTCCCCATCCCCATTTCCCCTTCCGTTCCCCCCCCTTCCCGTCCGCGCAGTGGCTGCGGGGGATGCCAAGGGCCCCTGCACTCCCCTCGCGGAGGCCAAACTCGTTACAGTCACAACCGAAGAGGATATTGCCAAGCGAAAACAGTACTCCAACAAAGAAACCGTTATCCTGGAATTGGCAAACGACATCACTCTTACCAAGGGAATTGTTTTCGACGCTGCGTATCGGTGTACCATCTTCCGATCGAGCGCGGGTAAAACGAATTACAAGATTTCTTACATGGGGGACAGGGAGCCGCTGCTGCAAATCTCGAACACCAGCAACGTTATCATCTTGCGCATCAACTTTTGGATGGGTGTATCAATGAGTTCGCCCGAGTGTACTGATTTCCTGTACACGGATATGGGGATGGGGAACACGTGCCCTACAATTCTGCTGTGGCGGGTGCACAACACGCAAGTTGCTAAGGTTTGTGATTCAAATTATGCAAGGCGTATGCCAAGGGAAAGGGGCCAAGACGTATACCAGGGGGAAAGGGGCCAAGGGGTATGCATGGCCCGAATCCTGCCACGTGTTCGCGAATCATGCCCTTCATTCCCCTCCCTCCCTCGCCCCCCTCTCTCCCCCCACCCTTCACTCACCCTCCTCCCCAACTACTCCGTTCGTCCGTCTCCCACTTCTCTCTGATTATTCAACCTGTCTCGCATTTTTCTTCCTACACGCCTCTTTTCTACCCTCTCCCGCGCCTCTGCCCCCGCCTCGGCCCTCCCCTCTGCCCACATAACAGGGCTTCGTGTATGGGCGCATTGATGTCATCCGTGCCATGTCATCACGCATCGACAACATGAAGGGTACAGGGTTACCACTCTTCGTCAAGTCGCCCGGGGTCATCCGGGTGTCCTTCTCTGGCTACGGCCCCGCTCTCCTCAAATCCTGGGTGGCCATTTCCAACAACGAAGTATACGGTACGCAGTTATTGCACTCTAAAGGTTACAGGGTTACTAGACTTTCCCAGCCCTCCTCAGCTCAATGACCATATCTGCCAACCATGCACTGCACGAATTCCACCTCCTCATCCTCCCCCTTCTTCTCCCTCTCTTCCCCCCCCCCCCACCAGGCGTGGACCAGCCTATCACTCTCCTCAACGGCGCGGTTGGAGTGATGGTCCGACGAAACTACATCCACGATTTTCTGTTCGCGGGGATTCGGTGCGGCGCTGACGTGCACAACCAGGGGGACTGCATGCTGACGACCATCAGCAACAACCTCATCGTCGCGTCGGGGCTCAACATGTCGGGCGATCGAGACGCCGCGGGGATTTACTACTGTACACATTTCTTCAACCCGGGGAATGTTGCTGAGTGTAATTACATATTCAACGGCGACCATTGTTACTATTTGGATTACGTTTCGTCGGGGATTATCATTCGCGGAGGGGCGTGTGTGAACACGTTTGACGGAATGAAGGTCAACAATGGGAAATGGTAAGTGGCGTATGGCGGACGTTTGTGTGCTTTGTCGTCATGTGCATTCGTGCTTCGTTGCCTTCTCTTGGTGCGTATTACCAGCTAACGCCCAGGCTTCTCACAATCCATGTGCTTAAAGTATCGCTCTTGTTGGTTTCGTGGTTGTGCTTGCAGGAACGTTATAACGGATGTTATTATGAAGGGGACGCAGAATCTGCCTGGCTGGGTGGCGTGTTTCACACCCACCAGCAACAACTGCCTCAAACACTCTGGAGAGTACTGGGAGCAAATGCGGTTAAAATACTACAATACACCCGCCATATTGAAGGTGTGTCTCAACTCTACCCCTTTCTTCTATAACCTCTCTGAGCCCTCCCCACTCCTACTCCATCCTCCCTCGTCCCTCTGTCTCCCTCTCACCTTCTCGTCACCACCATGTCTCATAATTCTTCTCCGCACTTTTCTGACCACTTCCCCCCTCCCCCCTTCGCCGCTGCCTCCCCCTCCCCCCTCTCCCTGTGCCTCGCCCCACCCACCCCCCTGTGGCCCCTACTGCAGGCGTACCCATGGTTCCCAACCGTCTGCAAAGAGAGGACCATCAATGGCTACCCGTGCAACATACAGAGGAAAGGGACCTTGTCGGGACTCCAGACCGGCTACTGTAGCGGGCTGCCCACAAATAACACTCTCAAGCTGATCACAGTGCAGACATCAGACCATGAGCTCGGTTTCAGGTACTGCGAACGGCGGCTCCCTACAGTGGAGAGTGGGCGACTCAACACTTACTTAAAATTCAACATCTCCAGACCTCCCAGGGCAAAGTTTGCCAACTACCACCGGAACGACTTTGGAGTCACCTCCAGAGAATCGGTCATCTACAAAAAGTTCCCCAACTTCAAAAACTGCCCGAGGAGCACTGTCGGGCAGAAGAGAGTTCCGGATAGTTTCTACTACGGTTGGTACAACCGGCCAATGCCGTTTGGTTTCATGGCCGTCTTAAACATGGGGAAGTTGCACATCCACGACTCCCCTGGCTGGCCCTAGCGTTCTCTCCCTCTCCCTGTACATTGCCTGTTGCATGTGTAATGCTTACAAGAGTAGAGTTCTGCACGTGTACAGTTTTTAGAATACGGCCATCAGCCAAACTGAAATTCCTCAGCCTGTGGCGTGGATGGACCCATCCATGGGCGCAAAAGCTCCACGCCAGTTCACCCCACCCTCCAGACCAGAGATACCCGCCATGAGGAGCAACAGAGTGCGGTCAGGCTGACTGATTGCTTGCATCCATTTGGCAGAGAGCATGGCGACGAGCACTGAGCAGCCCACACAACAGAAATGCCAGTAGCAGGCTCTTGAGTCCTACCGTAGACTGTCAGCGTCAGAGCAGGGTGCTCTTTTTTTTTTCCATCCATTCACCTTCTGTTTCGTGGTGTGGAGGGCCATGAACGGGACGGGAGCTGGTAGAGTCTCACTCACATCAAGGCGAAAAAGCTTGTAAATATGTAGGCCTCGGCCTTATAAACAAGGGGAATAAAACGATTACAACGAACTGCTACTAGCGCCTATAGGCTGAGCGAGAGATCGAGCTCGCTCCGCACATTCTTGCAGCCACTTGTCTCGCCGTTGACCTTCCTCTGCTTCGCCGCGCGGGCCGCAATGACGAGCTCCGACACCTCGCTCACACTCCTGCCCTTCTGCGCTAAGAGCTGCTTCGTTTGAACGTTCAGAGGCCCGTCCCAGTGCTTCCGCATGTGTCCGCCGAGCGCCTGCCCCGTCGCGAACTGCTTTCCGCACTTGGGGCACGTTTTGATCGGCTGCTGCCCGCCGCCGCGCTTCCGCTTGTGCGGCTTTTCCGCCTCCGCGGACCCGGCGCACGTGGCGGCGCTCCCGCTTCCGCCGCTTTTCTGCTCCACTTCGTCGTGTTCCTCGGCGGGGGAGGCGTTTAAGTCTAGACCCGCCATGGACGCGCGAGTGGGCGACGCGGGCGCGGCGTGGTTCCGGGATTGGAGCGAGAGGCGGAAGCTGGAGGGTTGCGCATCGTCGGCGGCGGCGGAAGAAGCGGCGTTGTTGTCGGTGCTTTCTTCCGCGGCGCACGACGCGGCGGCGGCGATGCGGAGCGCGAGGAGAACGTTGGCGCCAGAAGCAATCTCGGTATCGCTATTAGCGCGCTTCTGCGGCGTCGATGGAAACGAGCTCGGCATTTCTCCGGCCGGCGCGGCTGCGTTGCTGTGCGAGCTGTTGCCGTACGCCTGGTGGCTGACGCTGGAAAAACGAGGGCTGTACGCGTTATTTTCACGCGACGCGGACCGCTGCTGCTGCTGCTGCTGCTGCTTGATCTGAGAGAGGGCGTGGATTAGCGGGATGCACGCTGCGAGCGACTGAGCGTCCGCTGCGATGTCGATGCGCGGGCGCACAGCAACGCGGCACGCGTTGAGACCGTTTCCGCCAGTGGCGGAAGATTCGACGCTCATGTATTGGTTGAGCCTGCTGTAACCGTTACTTGACAAGCCGGCGAAGTTCATAGTAGCGGTGATAACTGGGAGTGACGGAACTGACGGAACTGACGGAACTGAAGGCAAGGCGACGAAGGAGACGCGAGTTTGGCGATGATGGGTGCTGCTGAAAAGAGTGGGCCTCAACTCAATAAACTCAGAAGGGAGGCTGAGGTTACTGTCAGTGAGTAAGTGAACTGTCGAGTGGAAAGAAAAAAGTGGTTGGAGAATACCCGCCCAAACCCAGCCTTTTACACTCTGTGTCGCTGGCTGATGTGCTGCTGCACCAGCGAACAGGATGCCGCTTTCCCCGGGGCACACTCTCCAGGCGTAACAGCGGTGACGCCTTGCTTGCCTTGGGTTTGGCGTTGGCAGAATCCCGCGTTTGCCTGCCAGCGCAGCACGTCCCCCACCCCCCCTGCTCGTATTTTCCCCTCTCCCGGCTCCGGGGCTCTTCTCCCCCCTTCCCCAGTGTCGCTGGTGGGCACGTGCGCGGTGGAGAAACACGCAGGCTTGAATTTGGTGAGGTGGGCGATTTCATCACGAGGAGGTGGAGAGATGTGATCCGTTTTCGCGTAACAACCAAGCCACGTGGACAGTTCATCTCATCATCGAGGTTGGGGGGGAGCCTTATGTTGCTCGTTCGGAGGAGCCCTGCAACAAGCTGTGTGTGTTCCCCCAAACCGTGGAAGCAGTGCTACTGTAGTTGGCCTTTCCCATCTCGGGGAGACACCCATCAAGCCCGCTCCCCAAGAAGCCCAAGTCCGGCGAGCCTCATCCTACGCGCAGTCCGCCAGCCAAGCCAGCTCCCACAGCTGAATGAAAGGGGAGACGCACGGGATGCAGCTCTCAGGTCAGGATCTCCCACTGTCCATTTGCAAACTGGACAACACAAGCTTCCACAAACACTGTAGCACGCTGGATGGACAGAACATTTTTTTTGGGCATAATGTAATGTTTCTTACATCGAACTTCCAGCTCTTCTATTACATACAAAGTACGAACTACGGTTCTGCACCAAAACTTGCATCGTATGTGAGTATTTGAATTGGACGCGCCTGCATGGATGTACAGTTTCTTCAAATTGTAGTTGCTGAGATGGAAAAAAAAAGGCTGTAAGGCAACGAGGGAAATGACAAAATTCTGCGTAAGACTGTTGATGGCCGCGCGCTTGGGATATAGATTCGCACATTTACAGTCTCGGTCATGATTGGGTTCGGTGAGGCGTCCGTGTGGTGGTGTCGAAAGCATGTGAAACTCCGCACGTAAGTTCGTGACAGATGGTGCTTGCAGCTGACGGCAACACCACCAGACCGAGTCCAGGAGGAACCCCCCTTGAAACGAGCAAAAAAATTATCGTGCTCGTCTCGCAAGGCAATGAAACATCGTTCAGCACATGTGTACAAACGAAGCTCGTCATAGTCGAACAGGATTTTAGAGTGCCGGGGAATCAATCGGTTAATTATTTCGCACGAGCACACGGCGAAGTGGGTGGGTATTTGCGGGGGAATCTTGTGTGGCGATGTTTGTTGTCAGTGTGCGACTCTTGTGAAGCGATCAGGCGACGGCGGTGCACAGTTCCGTGGCGACGAAACCTCGTCGGCAACGACTTGTCCCTTGGTAATTCTGGTCGCAGACGCAATCATAAGTGATTCAAACGGATCTCTCATTTCCCGTATATCGGGGGTTTTGAAAAAGTATTCTGATTGGGCGTCAGATTGAGCTGCGATAAGGTTGGGCATCGACTGTACTCGGTCAATTGGGGCCCACTTTAGAAAGCAGATGGCGTGTACAAAGGTTTGTACTGAACTCGATTTTACAGAAACACGAGGAGTAGGTGCCCAAACATAGGGGTTTCGATCTTTCGGGAAACTGGCATACGACACCCACTTCTGATTGTCATTATAACTTTCAGATACGATAGCATCACCGCTTTTGAGGGGAGATGAGACGCCATGGTCGTTTATTGTCGCCGAGTGAAATAAAGCGGTGCGCTGAGTGATTCTGACAGTGACAACAGCAAGTGGAGTGGTAGGCGACTGGGAGAAATTTAGCTGGTTCTGCCAGGCCACACAGCTTGCCCAGAGCAGAATTGCGTGTGGAAAGGAAACTTCAGAGTCTAGTGCAGGGTTTTTACAACAGCCCACGTCATCATCGGCTGGGCTTCGCTGATGGCTCCGTTATGCTTTACATGTCCCAGCTTGACTGACATGTAACATGCACGCTAGACATACACAATATCAGAATAACGTGCATCATCAGCATATCCCATCTTATCAACTCCATACGATTTTAAATCTATAATACGACCTAATTGTAAATTTAAATAAAATATAAATAAGTTGTATTTCTGTCCGAATGATAGTGCACCTTCTATAGGTTTCATGCAGAAAGAGAGCCCAGGATGGCAGTTGTGCATTGAGTTGGAGTGAAATTGCATAAGGTGAATACGAGACATTGGTTGTCAATAGACGAGGCCGTGCTGGTCCCAAGAATCCATGCCAGTTTGTACACCGCACTGTTGAGGTGCCGGTAACATCTGCCATGGCAGTTCTTGTTGACCTCACATGCCCGATGCCACACACGCGACCGCAATTTCAGGCAGCTTTAACATCACTTGAGGAAGAACCAATCCAATCAGTTTGTCGGCAAGTTCACCAGCACACCACCTTGTGCTCCGTGGCACGCGTCAGCATTTCCTGGGCGCGCAGATTGAACATCGATCCCCGCTGGCACAGGGGCCCGGGACGATCGATGGTGGAGATGCGATCTAACCATTTGAGCCGCGTCAGCGTGGGGCACACTAGAGCAAAATGTGAATTTCGCGGAACTGAAATGCAGGCAGGCAGACTGGCCAAAGAGCGTCGATTCTCCCTACCGCAATGAGCGGATGGCAGATCTGTCCAGCAATGATCCTACGGGCCACAGCCGAAACACCTCACCTCGCCACGCAACTGTAACAGAAACGCGAAAATGTTTTGTACTCAACCTCAAAGCACTAAAGCACTTGGAACCGTGCATTATCGTCATTTCTCCCGCCCCACTGGGCTCACGTCAGCTCAAGTGGGCTCTTTCCGCTCCTCGCCTCGGCTTCTTCGGCCGCGCTGATGCTTTCAGGCAGGAGAGTCTCACTCCCCCCTCACTCTCCATACCAAACCCGCCCAATCCCGCCTTCATCAGCAAGCTAGCTCCCTCCTCCTGAACGTTGGCCATCATTTCTGATATTCCCCTCTTCCGAGTTTGCCTTCTTCTATTGTAGCTTTCACTGTAAGAAACCTCAGCCTAATCTCATGGCGATGCACTTTATCAACCGCAACAGAGTTAATAACCTGGTAGAGTTTTATATTCGCGAGCAGCAGGAGAGCCACGCGGCACGGAATCCTCCATTCAAGGCGTACCCTTCTAGCTTCCAGAGCGCATCGGCGTCGAAAAAGAGACAGCTTAGCGACTCGGAGGGGTCCGAGGAGCAGCGGCAGTCGGAGTCCAACATCACGCACACGTCGCAGCACAGCACTCCCGGACATGACGGCCACTGCGCGACGTCCGCTCACTCGGACGAAGCGGAGCTGGCCAGCTTAGACGAAGAGCTCCTGTGTCGCGGCGCGTCCGACCTGCTGCTGCTTCGCATGGCTGGGTCGCCGCCGGAGACGGAAGCTCACGAAATGTTTGCCGAGAGGGTTTCAGCCACCTCGGAGAAGCACCTCGACCTGAACGCGGAGCCAGCGAGCCCGTCCGACAGCCCGACAGCGACGCTCGCTCAATCGTCGGAGGATCTTTCAGCTCCAGTTACCCGACCGACGAGACGCGCGAAGGAATCTGGTCATTTCGCCGCATGCAGCGACGCCGCCGCGGAGACGAGCCACAAGCGGAAGCGACCGGCGCAGCAGCCGACCAAGACGTGTCCGAAATGCGGAAAGAAATTCTCCACTGGACAAGCTCTTGGCGGACACATGCGGAAGCACTGGAATGGGTCCATTCGCGTGCAGACGAAGCAGCTTTTAGCGGAAGTGAGCCCTACGAGGACCAGCAGCCCCGCTCACAGCCACAGCCACGAGTCGGATCTCGCCTCGCCTCAGCACGATGTTAAGCAGAGGCGGACCAACGAGGCGGAGTCGAATGTGAGGCTGCTCGCTGACAGTGATATTGATCTGAGCCTGAAAATATGAATACTACAGGGATTTACAGGCTTCTGAGGTGCCTGTGCTAGTAAAAATCCCGTTAGAAGTTGCTGCTGCGATCCCAATGTTTCATCTCACAGCAATGTAGGTGTAGTGTGCCAGCATACCAGTGTACAAATTCATACCTTTTTCATGTGGAACAAGTGGGGCACAGAGACGAGACGGTTATCTGTTGGAACTTGGAACCAGTGAGAGAGAGTTGTATTGTGAAGCACACAGCAGCTTCTGGGGGACCAAGAGGTCAAGCATCATGCATGATTCATGAGGCTGTCTGTCTGCAGTCAAATGGAATAAAAAGAGCACCCTGGCATTGACAAGGTTTATTAGCATATGGGCTATACAACAGCAAAACAGGGGTCAGTAGTAAACCACCTAGATTGCTGGCTTCACAGCGCTTCAAGCATCACAGCCGGAGGTCCAAATCGATCTCGGCTCCATCTTCCACCTGCTCTTTCTCCATCTCCAGTGACTCTTCTGACTGCTGCCTGCTGAACGCAGACAGCTGCTGGCCCGGCGAAGACGACCTGTTGTGGCACTGATTGCTGATGACATTGCTGCTCTTGCTCACCCCAAGTGAGTCCTTCGCGTGCCTTTGAATTTGCTCCGGCCGTTTCGGCCCCTTCCAGTGTTTCCGCATGTGACCGCCCAGCGCCTGCCCCGAGGAAAAGATTCTTCCACACTGCGGACACCTCTTGCTTCCCCGGGATAATCTTTCGCGCTGCCCGAACGCGAGGCCATCCAAAAACTCAGAACCACTCATGTTCTCCCTTCCACCCACGATGTTCAACCTGGTCACCTCATTGGCCGCTCGGAGCGCCATCGCAAGCGACTCACTGTAGCAACCCCTCTCCGCTGGTGACGTGGACACTGACCCACTGAGCAATGCGGACAGCGACGATGTTGACACGTCAGCCGGCGAGCAGAGGCGAGACAAAGTCGCGGCGGCAGACGAAGGGAACGAAGCGCTTCCGCCGGAGCTGATAGATCCGGGAACCACGGAAGGCATTCTCTCCCAGGAATTGCGCTGCGCGTGCAATAGCAGCTGCTTCCTGAGGGAGGTGTTATCTGTCGCCCCCTGCGGCTCGGGAACGAGCGTCTCTCTCGTCCTGCTGTTAGCTTCAGCGGTGGAGGCGGATGTGATCGCGGGAATCCCCTCGCGCCTGCCTGTCGCCGCATTTGCCGCATTCGCTGCGCGCAGCACGCTCGCTATCAGCGCAGCAGCCGCCAGCGCGTTCTGCTGCTGCTGGTTGAGGTTGAGGGAGCCCGCCAGTGGCGCGGGGTTGTTGGCGCAAGTCACGCCGGCGCGCGCAGGGGCATTGTGTGCGAGCGGTGGGGACTTTGTCATCCAATGCGGAAGCGCGACTCCCGGCGAGCCGCCCCCGATTGCCGGCGGAGATTCGTCGGTGGCGGCGTGGAGCAGCCCGCCCGATGACGGGTCGTCGCGCAGCGGCGCGGCGGCGTAAACGCCGCCGGATTGCACGGCGGCATCAGAGCCTCCCGACGAAGTTGATGCGGCGGAAGCGGAGGCGGAGGCGGAGGCGGAGGGGGAGGAATTATCGGCGGAGCAGGCGCGAGCGTGAGGGGACGGCAGCAGCGGGTGAAGAAGAGACGTTGTTTGGGTTACCGCGCTCGTCGTCGTCGCCGCCTCTGTAGCGGCCGTAGCGGCTGTAGCGGTTGTAGCGGTTCGCAGACCAAAAAGGAGCTCGGCGAGCGCTAGAGAGTCCGTCGTGCGGCGGGCGAAAGCCATAATTCGCGACGATGGCGTCACGGTTGCGCTTTGACCGGACGAAGTCCAGGTTGAGAGAAGGACAGATCCAGAAGAGCAAGTACGGACGTTACCGGAATCGGGATCGACAAGATAAGGAAGTTCTGTACGTCTATGTCAGTCTTTGGGTGCGGAACCGGTGGTATTTGCATAAAATTGGCGCACGAAATGCGCGATAGAAACGTGTGGTACGGAATGGAGGCGTGTAAAGTGCGCTGGTCGGGGTGTGAGCGTCAGGATAAGGATCCACGGATTCCTAAAAACCACGAGTGTGCTCAGCTGCTGTAGCATTGAAAGTTCTTCTACGAAAACCACGCCAGTGTTCCGAAATCGATGTCCACACCAGATCGAGAGAGCGCCGAAGGACGCCATGGCTCGAGGTGTCTGGTGGTGAGAGAAATACAGAACAGACTGCAGGGTGACTGATGGTGTGGGGCTGTCTGGGTGACGGTGGAGGCACCCAGCCCACATGCGAGTGCTGTCAGCGAAATGGGGGCTGCTTTTCGCAACTCGCACGCGCCACTGTGATTCCTTGGGGGGAGCGTCTGCAAGAGGGCGCACGGTGCCCCCACCACCGCCAACAATTGCGACCTCCCACTAGCAGCGCGATGTGCCGGTGGTAACAGCTCCAGGGGATAAGGTTGGAAGGCGAAACAGCCAATTTCGCCCGACAGTTCAATCACGACGTCAAGCTGGCATCGTGATCTGTTCGTCATGCCAAGCAACGGCGTTAAGTAGTTACAGTATCACACCTGTTACACTTGTAACAGTAAAATCATCAAGGACATTCATCCGCCTTTCATCCACACCGCCTCCTGCACGAGGCCATGGGCAGCCAGGAAACTGAAGGCAGGCCCAACGTGTGGCATTTGGCTTGTCTGCCTGGTGGACATTTTTAACCGTTGATGATGGTGACAGCGAGCATCGAACTGAGCTGGCGCGTGTCGAGGTTGCTGTAAACGACAAATAAGGGACGCGGGAGTGGAATATTATTTCACAGGGGTCCCACGCAAATCATATACATCCCAAGCCTACCAGACGCTGCTCCATGTTCCAAGGGCGATTTCTTCCCTAGGACTTTGGACATTTTTTGTCAAGCTGACGCATTTTTAGTGTTCGTGTTGACAGTTAGTCACTTTGTCAAGGCGGCTCTGAAAACATTCTGGCCATCGGTGTCTACGCCAGGCCTTCCAAAAAAAATGTACAGAGCAAACAAATGACAACACGACCCACAGCAGGTGCCATTCCAAGTGAATCGAGTCGATTGACAGACCCCTGGCTCCATCGCAGAGTGATGCTATGAGCTGGCCAACGTGCAGTAAACAGTTGAACTTCGTGAATTTCATGCAGGAACGACAAGAGCTGAGTCTGGTTTCGTCTCGTCACCCGTCATGTCACGTCAAGGGCGACGCGTGGTGGTGTTCGTCTTTTGGGCGGCAGAAGAATTATTAGCCCGAGGTAATTTCACACCCTGAAATTGGGCGGCAGCAGAATTTTTGTTCCCACCCTTACCATTTCTGAGTGCGTAGACATTACTCCCTTGTTCATACGGCCTGAGCCCGGCAGACTTCCCGCGGGCAAAAACTTTTAGCACTGCCTAAGCTGATGTCTAGTTTCCTGACTCGAGCAGTAAACGTTTCGTATAGAAACCCAAGCAATTTTTGTTTTTTAAGGGTATCCGGATCTGGTCTTCAGGAGCTGCTTTCTGGGGGTGAATACCCTCTCGGCGGCACCCCCTGAAAATACTGGGTGTGAAATTAAGGCGCGCTAGGTGTACTGTTTGCTAAAAGGTTGACTTCTACACCTCGGACTTTGTAACGCGGTTCAAAAGCACGGAATTCTACTAACTATAGCAGCCCCTAACTTCGCAACACATCTTTGCCATCATGCACTTTCCATTGTCTTCTTATGCTTGGTTCGCCTGGAGCTGCCGTTGTTCCCATCGTCCTCATTCCGGCCGTCAATCTCGTCCCGCATTCTCCGACGCGAGGGCACCTGATCAGCAAGCATTCCTCCAGGCATGCTGGACGTGGGTCCATCGGCACTATGTGTCATGTGCTCACCAGGGGTGGGACCGTTGCCAGATAACTCTTGGGGCGCCGCCGAGGGCCCAGGCATTCCGGACATTGCCTTGTTAGCCTCGGTGTGCGGTCGGGCAGAAACCAGCCGTTCCTGGTTCTGTTTGGCCTGCACAGAGGAGGTGCAACACAGACATTCGAGAACAGAATTCCTCAAGCATGAAACCACATGCTTGCACGCCAAAGTACCAATAGACCAACTCTACTGAATCGCTTACTGTCCAGCACAGTAACCCAGCTACCCATCCATGCTCCAACATGCACATCAACAATGCCATGCACTGATGTACACACAATACCATACATGAACAATGTCTGTCATGCACTAAGAGACACACAATACCATACATGAACAATGTCTGTCATGCACTAAGAGACACATAAAACCATACATGAACAATGTCTGTCATGCACTAAGAGACACACAATACCATACATGAACACTGTCTGTCATGCACTAAGAGACACACAATACCATACATGAACAATGTCTGTCATGCACTAAGAGACACAATACCATACATGAACAATGTCTGTCATGAACTAAGAGACACACAATACCATACATGAACAATGTCTGTCATGCACTAAGAGACACAATACCATACATGAACAATGTCTGTCATGCACTAAGAGACACACAATACCATACATGAACACTGTCATGCACTGACAGACACACGATACCATACATCAACATGAGCAATGGATCACAACCGTGCAACAATCATAGAGCAGCCATGTGCCTGCTACTGGCAGCACAGTGGCATTACATGAAGCTCTAACAAGACACCAAACACACAAGCAAGCGGAATAAGAGAAACATCAATCAAGATACGTGCAATTGAAGGAACAGCAGAAGCACCAGACAGGATGTGCCCAAAAACCCATCCTACCTCCTCCCTCACCCTACCTCCTCCCTCATCCTCCTTTTGAGACGTCGCAAAACGAAATAACTAGCACACCACACCAGACTGGATATGCCAACAAACCCATCATACCTCTTGGCTCATTCTCCATCCCCTCCCTCGCAGGTATGCTTCTGAGAGCCTCTCTTGTGGTGCCATGTGGCGCTGTGCCACGCCGTCCTCTCCCATTACCCTCTCCCACTCCTTAGCCTCCTCCTGCCGTTAGAAACACACATGCATGCACGCCATGCCAAGACGTGCCATCCCATTCCAAGAATGACAAGCCAGACATGCAATGCCATCCATCCCACACAGAATAAGATGGATGCAAGACACATCCGATGCAATGCAGAAGAGAGACCCTTCGCATCACGCTTAGGGATGCTGCACCTGGCACGGATGGAACCACAAATCGTGCCACACTGCACAAATGACAGTGGTGTCCGCGACTCACCTCCCTCTATGGTCCTTTTCCAAAACAAATCTCATGCCCTGAACTAACGCGCCGTGTTCCCTTTCCACCCGTGCTCCCTTTCCACCCGTCTTCCCTTTCCACCCGTCTTCCCTTTCCACCCGTGTTCCCTGCACTGACTCCCCTGCCTCAACTCACCTGGCTCAATTGCCCAGCAGCAACAGCAGCTGAGAGAACCTTGCCTCTGTCCTTGGCGCTCGGTCCCGCTCCTCCACCGCACCCCACCCCTCCACCAGACCCAGACCCCTCTACCACCTCAGCGCCCCTCCTCGCTTGCTCCCCTCCCATACCCCGCCCTGCCCCCTCGCGCCCTGCCCCTCCCAACACTCTCCTCAAGGCACCCAAGCCCTGCCCCAACATACTTCTCAGCACACGCTGCTGCTGTTGCTGCTGCTGCTGCTGCTGCTGCTGCTGCTGCTGCTGCTGTTGCTGCTGCTGCTGCTGCTGCTGGGCTTGTCTGCCATCATCACTGTCACCCGCCACCCCTCCTCGCCCCCTCGCCTCTGCACTTCCACTAGGCACCACCCCATCAATCGACCTTCCCTCAACCTCGGCCCCTCCACCTGATTGCCCCGCTAAACCTGCCAGGATCCCACCCAGGCCTCCCAGCCCACCAAGTAGCGCCTCCAGTCCACCTGCTTGCAACCCCATTCCCCCTGCCTGTGCGCCCATTCCTGCTGCCTGTGCGCCAATCCCCCCTGCCTGTGCGCTAATCCCCCCTGCCTGTGCGCCAATCCCCCCTGCCTGTGCGCCCATCCCCCCTGCCTTCATGCCCCCCCCTCCGCCCTCTGATCCCATTCCTGTTCCTTGGAGTCCCGATCCCCTCCCTTGCCCGCCCAACCCCCCTGCCTGCTCTCCTGCTGCTCCTGCTGCTCCTGCTGCTCCTGCTGCTTCTGCTGCTCCTGCTGCTCCTGCCGCTCCTGCTGCTTCTGCTGCTTCTGCTGCTCCTGCTGCTCCTGCTGCTCCTGCTGCTTCTGCTGCTTCTGCTGCTTCTGCTGCTTCTGCTGGTTCTGCTGTCCCTGCTGCCCCTGCTGCCCCTGCTGCCCCTGCTGCCCTTGCTGCTCCCGTTGCTCCTGCCAATGGCGGCAGCTGAGGGCGCATCACTATGGTGGGGAGGGGGCCAGACCCGGACAAGAGAGCTACAGTGGCCGGGAACTGTAGCAACGGCTGTTGGCCGGCAAACAACGTCTGTTGCTCGCTTGCAACTGCCTGCTGCTGCTGCTGCTGCTGCTCTTGCACTTGCTGCTCCTCCTGTTGGTGCTGCTCCTGTGACCGCTCTTGCTGCTGCCCTCTCTCCCCACTCGCCGCATCTAGCCTGTCCCGCTGCTCTCGCCTCCCCTGCATGTGCGCGTTATACCCTGCCAGCACCTGCTGCACGTGGAACAGGCGAGCTGCTGCCATCACTTGCTCCATCAACGATGCCGGCTGCTGCCCCTGCTGCCCCTGCTGCCCCTGCTGCCCCTGCTGCCCCTGCTGCCCCTGCTGCCCCTGCTGCCCCTGCTGCCCCTGCTGCCCCTGCCGCCCCTGCTGCCCCTGCTGCCCCTGCTGCCCCTGCTGCCCCTGCCGCCCCTGCTGCCCCTGCTGCACTTGCCCCTGACCTTGCTGCTGCTGCTGCTGTTCGTGGGCAGAACTCCCAGCAGAAGCAGGAGGACCAGGAGCAGGAGCAGGAGCAGCAGCAGCAGGGGGTTTGCAGCATTGGTGGTTCTGTCTGTTGAGGCGCGAGCATGGTCAGTAGGGCGGGAGGGGTGAGTGCGAGGCTGGTGGGCGGCAATGGCAGGCACGCCAAACAACCCCACATGCACGCCCCCTGGGAGAGAGAAGTTGGCAACAGGCGTGGGGACAGATGCAGATGGCGCTGCTGCTGCTGCTGCTGCTGTACCTGCTGCTGTGCCTGCTGCGCTTGATTGCTGCTGACCTCCAAACACCGGAATTCTGATGCTTTCCCCAACCCCCCTCCCCCTCCTCGCCCTCTCTCCGCTCCCCACCTCTCCCCCTTCTCTCCCTTCCCTCCCTGCGATGCTCGGAGCTTGAGCCTGCACGTGCATTTGCTGCAGCAAGGGGAGTTGCTGTGAGAGGGGAGGCACGGAGGGATGGGAGAGCAGTGAAATAAGCAAGGCTCTGCGCACGTGGCAAGGCCCTGCCGTGCTTGGGGCCTACATTTGCTGCAGCAAGGGGAGTTGCTGTGAGAGGGGAGGCACGGAGGGATGGGAGAGCAGTGAAATAAGCAAGGCTCTGCGCACGTGCAAGGCCCTGCCGTGCTTGGGGCCTACATTTGCTGCAGCAAGGGGAGTTGCTGTGAGAGGGGAGGCACGGAGGGATGGGGAGAGCAGTGAAATAAGCAAGGCTCTGCGCACGTGGCAAGGCCCTGCCGTGCTTGGCGCCTGCATTTGCTGCAGCAAGGGGAGTTGCTGTGAGAGGGGAGGCACGGAATGGGGGAGAGAGGAGACGAAGAGAGTGGAGCAGCGGCATAGACGGGCACGGAAAGAGGCGAGGGTGGGGGGAGAGCATTCGAGGAAAGCAGGACGCGTGGAATTGGTGGTTGGTGCATGAAAAGAAAGGCAGACAGCTCCATGGGGGGCCATGTTAGGGAGGGGCGCAATATACAGAAGATATAGATATCTCCAATTCCCACCCTTTTCCCCCCCTCCCCCCTCCCCCTTCTCTCTCTCCCCCGCCCCCCTCCCATCCTAAACCCAGAACCCTGTTGTACACACATGGGTGATGAGCCTACTCGGCCCTCTAGCGGTGATGAACACAGGCGGCAGAGGGGAGAGGCGTGGAATGTGCTGCAGCCCGCTGCTCGCACCCGCTGCACCCGCTGCAGCTGCTGCAGCAGCAGGAACATCAGCAGCAGCACGGGCAGCCGGCGGCCAGCGCAGGGCGCGGCAGAGGCGGGAGAGCTCGAGCATGAGGGGCGCCACTTGCGACAGACAGCGCACGGTGGACTCTACTGCCTCCCTCATCGCCGCCTCTGCTGCTGCTGCTGCTGCTGCTGTTTCTTGTGCTGCTGCTGCTCTCTGTGCTGCTCCTGTGCCTGTTGCTCCAGCTGCGTCCACAGCAGCCGCGCCATCAGGGGATGGGAGACTCTCCAGCTGATCTGCAAGGTTCTGCTTGAAAACAGCCGGCATAGGCGGAGGCAGGCCATTGGGGAGGCCGTGCATGGGAGGTGGGAGGGCACGGGAGGAGGGAGGGCGGGAGGGCATGGGAGGAAGTGGTTCATGGGAGGAAGTGGTTCATGGGAGGAAG